AACGGGAAACGTTGGCGGACAAAAGAACAATAAGACTGGAGAAGGCGAGTATCAGCTGGGTTAACGTAAGCTTAAGGTTTTATCTGATTCTGAGTTTTCACCACCCTTTCGGACCGGATAAGTGTGGTAAAATATAAGTTTAAGCTTGCGAAGAGGTCAAGCTTAATTTTTTTGAAGGAAAACATCCACTTCATGAAAGCTTCTTAAAGCTTAAAATACTTCACTGCCATTCATTTCGCCCAGCTTATTAGTTTTGTCACGTTGTCAGATTTAGGATGAACTTAAATCCGACGGTAGGTCTGCGTTACATTTGCTTGAGAGATTTTTGTTTACTCTTTGAAAAACAGGACATTCGGGTTGTGTAAAAAAAATTTCGAGACCGGGAAGGCTACGAACAAAGAAAGATACTAATCTAAACACTGGCTAATAGCAAGCTGTGTCCTGGGGCACTTTCCATATAAGGGTTGTATAGGTATTTGCGGACCCAAAGGTTATGATTTTTTAGCCGTTTTGGTCAGAAATAGGGTATGGATTTTGCACTCTAGTCTTGATCTGGGTATGTTTTTTAGAGGAAGCTACTCTTTTTCCCTGGCAGATTGCCCTCAGATGTGTGTGGTCTGTTTTTGGGCTAAAGGTATTTAAGTATAGTGATTAATCAGGATTCACTTCACACATTTCTACTCCTCCTGAACCTGGATGGATATTCTAGTTGAGAGCAGGGTTACACCCCAGCATTTAATTCGCCAGCACCAGTAGAGAAATACTCTGAAAGTAAAGTATTTGTTTTTTAAGAGTACAACACATTGACTCGGTCCAATTTGGCAGTCCTCGAATCCACACACTTCACTTGTTTATAGTCTGGTGCACTTAAATGATTAAACTACCATGCCCCAATTCCAGAAGAATTTTAAAATATCCATACCCACTCTCATGGAAGGTCACTAGAAATTTCAAGGAGGCTGTTGCTGCCACAAAGCAAAATTGTAAGAGAAAACTAATGAAAGTGGACTTTCCAGATGGGTGGGGCGTTCGAACCAAAAAACCTTTTGTGGATGGGTGTGGCTATATCCTAGACCAATAATGTTAAGTCAGTCTCCTCTGCAGATGCTGTTTAGGCTCATCACACAAATATCTGCTCCACCCTGAGGAGAAATGCATTATGAGCCAAAAAGATGTCTGCATAGGAGACTTATGCACATGTTGAGTTTGCTTTGAAAATTTATTTCACCGAAAACAAATGTTCATTAACAATTTAACAAGACAACAATAATTTGCAGCAGCTTTACAATAAATTCTGCTGACTTTTTCATCACTGACTACAAATTTAAAACGTTCATTACCTGAGGTACTGAAATTCCTAGAGGCTATCAAGGCTTGATATAACTAACTGGTATAACTGAGGGCAACCATTGGCCAATCACTGCATGCAAAAACAACAACACCAACAACAACCTCCTCTATTACTAGGGTGGCCAGGCTCTTGCCTGTTCTTTCAATGAACCTGCAGGACTTCCGAGTCACAAGATAGACTGGGAGGAGAAGAGTTAAATGTGGACACTCTCGCAGAGGGCTTACTGCAGACCTCCTTTTATTGTACCCTTCCTTATAATCAATTCATGCCATTTTATATGCATTGGGTAGCCTCTTTTCCCTTTTTGACTAAGAATGTGTGATTGACCATAACAATACCTACATATTAAGGAGGCCAGGATTTCCCTTATTGACCAATTTTAACTTTTTCTCTAAGACATGTTATTATTTTACTGTAAAGTGGCATAAAGGAAAGAGCAAATCAAACTAATATAGTTTTTATTTTTTGGACTGTGAAAATGAATTCTTTTCAAACCCCGACCTATTTCACAAACAAAACAATTTAGCAATCTTATGTAATGGTTTACGACAGTGAAGTTATAGAATGGATGTTAATGCTCCACTGACACACTCTTCAATAACAAATGTGTTTGAGGACAATTTAGATGTCATATCATCTCCACACTCAACAATTGTTTCTGTTACCAACTCAACATCACACTCTACAGTTTCTTCCTTGTTTTCCCTTGCTTTGTTTTTCCTTTTCCTTGTAATTTTCTTCTTCTCCTGCCTGTTTGGCGCCTTACGGCACCAATTTTTCTTAAGGTGTAATGTGACATTACTGCGTTGGTTATATCTTCGTCCACAATATGGACAGGGGAAAGGTCGTTCTCCTGTGTGGATAAGCTGATGACGTTTCAGGCGTGACAGTGTTGAAAAACCTTTGTTACAAGTTGGACATCTAAGGTAAGAAAAATAATGTGATTGAACAAAATTTGTTAGACAAATAAAAATTGTATTACATACATTTTTTATGTATTTATGACAATTTAATGACACTCATTTAATATACAAATAAACAAATGCAGATAAGGCATAAAGATGGTTCAGAAAAGAGTCTTATTATATCTTTCAGTTATATTTTATATTTCTCACTTTGTTGTTATTTCTAACTAGGTAATTTTTTTGAGGACCTTTCTGTAAACCACTCAACTGTGATGTTGGTATCCTCATTAAAGATTACTACCACTACTACTACTACTATGTGTGCTGTGATTGGTCAATTTATTCTACTGTGTGGCCTGCTAAAATTTAAAGCTGTTTTTGTTGCCAAAATGTTTCATGATTTATTGCCAAGTGTTCTTAACTTTTATGGCAAGTAAAAATTGAAAACTTTTTGTTGCTTCTAAAGTTGTGCATTAAAACCTGCTAAGACTTACGAGTCACTTAACATTGATTTCAAATTGACTCATTTTGCTTTTGACTTGCGTTAGAAATTTGAAGCCGTTCCACATGAATAGAAATCGTTCCCAAACCTGGCAGACACACAGTAGAGATTCTTGGTCCGTACTGTAAGTTATGGATCCTCATTTATGGCCCGCATACATCACGTTTGGGCCATAAATCAATGTGGAAAAAAACTTGGTCTGTAACTTACAGTACAGCCCTTGAACTCAGTTAGTAAGAGGTATATAGACCCGGCACTCAAGACAGACCACCTACATTATAAAGATATGAAAAAAATATTAAAATAAATATGGTCAAACCTCTATTGAGCAGCCACCGCTAATTAAGTGGACAGTTATTAAAGTCCCAAAATTATTGTCAGTTAAATACTGTAAATAAAACCCCTACTAACTGGCTACCTCCATTAAGTGGCCATGGCCACCTTTTGGTAGTCCCAATAAGGATTTTTCTATTGTCTTTACCCCTAACAAACAGCCATCCAAATTGAAAACTTTGTTTTGAAAAATGCAATGGCAGATTAGGGCTGCCATTAAGTTTTTAGTCACCTGTAGCCTTATTCTCCACACCCATAGCAAATTTGTTACTTTGTGGGTAGATTCTATCAACAACAGGCAATTTCACCCGTAGCATCAAGGGTTACGGCCTTTAATGCCAGCCCTGCAGATAAGTGTCTGAAGTAGAAGGTGACGAGTGATAAAAATATTCAAACACGCGTTTATCATGATTGTCTCAAGGCCACCCAATGTTCACTAAGAAATCAACCTGATGGTGAAAAATATTCAAGGTACACCAACCTCTATTAAGCGACCATCTCCCATTTCTCCGAGGGTGGTTTGACTGTATATGCTATAAGCTTGTATAGTCTTAAAGATAACTACCCATATCACCTCCCCCAAAAAGTAATTAAATATGAAGTACAAAACAAAAAAAAAACTTAATGCTTACTTGTTTTGTGGGTCATTAGTGTGCACTAAGCAATGATCTTTCATAGTTCGTCTATAGCGGAAACTCATTCCACATGTGTCACAGGAGAATGGCTTTTCTCCAGTGTGAACAAGCAGGTGTTGCTTTAAAGAATTTTTACTTGTGTAGCATTTGCCACACTGTGAGTAGCTGCAAATGTATGGTCTTTCTCCAGTGTGTGATCGCATGTGTTTTGTGACATCGTTCTTGGTGGCAAATGCCTTTGAACATATTGGGCACTTGTGTGGTTTGGTCCCAGAATGCATTCGTTGCCAGTGTCTTCTGCAGGTTGAGTTTAACCTGAATTTCATGTCACATATGTCACATTTGTAGGGCTTATCACCTAGATGTAAGCAAAAAGAAAGTTTGTACTGGTCAACAGCTAAAATGTTCCTGTTCAATAGTTAATAAGGACTGGAAGAGCTTGAGATGGTTTGCTGAGGAGGACTATGTACTAATTAATTTATAGATTTAGCCAAGCCTAAAAAGGGAGCTCCTGATTGCAATAATTAGCCATAAGGGAAAAAGGGGATTTGTTTTTCTTGAATCAGAAACTCAAAAAATGATCAATTGTGAGCATTTTATTGTTCAGCGTGTGGTTTTGCTATTTTTTCCAGTTAAACTCTAACAAACTATACCCAATAAGCATAGCCAAGACTGCAGAAATTACGTACGCAATATATCAGGGACTTCCCAAGAGACGATTGTGCAAGGAATATGTCACAAGAAAAGTCAACAATGCCCAGTGGTTAATTTGTGCTGAAATTTTGCCTTTGCACATACCCCCTCCCTCTCCCCCAAAGAAATAACCTGACTTGAACCTGTGATTCAATCGAAAACCAATTCCTGGTCAGCAGACAACTCAAAAAAAAAAAAACATGCGACCTCGATGAGCACTAAACCTGAGCCCCTGATAATTATGGTCACATGATACTGGTCAGCAGATACCGTGTTTTGACAGCTTTCAATTAGGCATAATATGGATGTCCAATATCAAAGATGTACCCATGGTAATGGTGCTACTCTCCTATTTTTTAAGGTATTGGGCTTAGTGTATGTACATACGTACGTATGTACGGACAATCACGTGACAACCAAAATATTTGAAATCGATGAGTTACCAAATTTTCTAAGGTATCGTGCTCTGCTTGCGGGCCTTTGTGAGATAGTTTGCCGAGGGGAGCTGTTCCCTATAAAAAGGAAAGTTGGAAAGAATTTTGTAAAGGACCCCTTAAAGGTACCAGAATCTTGTTTTGTGGGTGTGATTAAAATTGCTTTGCATAACTGAGGCCCAAATGAGAAACGTGTACATTGTTGTTCAGGGGAACTATGCTCATTCAAGAGCAGCACTTATATTACTGGGGTGAAAATGTTTGGTTAATTCAGAATGCTGGGATTAAATACAACACATACCTGTATGGGTTGCTAAGTGCCGTCTCAAACTGTTGTAATCACAACATTCCCTTCCACAGGTTGGACAACTCACTGCTTTAGTACCCAAGTGCTTGCGCATGTGGCATTGAAGGTAGTCCTTAAATGCAAATGTAGCCTTGCAAATGTCACACTCAAAAGGTTTTTCACCAGTGTGGCGAAATTCATGCCGAACGAGAGAATCATGACGCAAGAAAACTTCTTTGCAAAGCTGACATTTGTAGGGCTTCTCTGAATGTAGTCGAATGTGGTTCTTCAATGTACTTGAATACCGAAATGATTTCTGACATGTGGAACAATGGAAAGGTCGTATGCCAGTGTGGGATTTGATATGAATCTGAAAGAAAGCAGAGAGCTAATAAATTACAGTGAAACCCTGTCAATACAGTCACCAAC